AATGTAAATGTACAATTTATAAGAAGAATTTATTATGTGTATGGTATTTATTGTTTGTTAGGAAATTTAATGCAAATGGATGGTGGGCTAATATTGTTTCCACATATTGTTAATTGAGAATTTTTAATATTATGTGTGGTGGGCGAATGTGATAGTTTGACAAACAATAAAAAGTAGATTAGTGCACTAATATGATGTTTTTTGGTAATCTGATAAATAATAGACGAATGCTAATAGATTCTATTAAAAAAGAAGAAAAAGGGAAACAGAGAGAGAGAGAGAGAGAGAGAGAGAGAGAGGATAAAAGCAGATGGCTATATCTCTGATCAGAGAAAAAAAAAGAGTAAAGGCTGAAGACACACAGATCTACAGAGAGGGGGTACTGGGTCAGTTATCTGGTGGATATTGGAGCTTGCAGGAGGGCTTGGGAAGGAGAGATGAAGGAGGAAAGGGGAAAAGCAGGAGTTTGAAAGAAAAAGCTGAGCTGAAATCTGGATGGGTTTGTTTCTGTATGTGGATGGTTTCCTCTGCTTGCAGTACTCTTGCATCGTATCCCTTCTCCCCCAACTCTTTCTTCACTCTGCTTTTTCTTCTCTCTATCTCTCTCCCTGTCCCTCAATTTCTTCAATTAATTTTGCTTGTTTTCCTTGCTGAAGATGGGACTTGGGAGTGGGATGACGGAATCCCTACTCTTTGCTGTCAAATCTGCTTCATTGTGTTCACCTTCTGTCTCTCTCCCTCTCTCTCTCTCCCATTATTTTTTACTTGTTTTCCTNCCTGTCCCTCAATTTCTTCAATTAATTTTGCTTGTTTTCCTTGCTGAAGATGGGACTTGGGAGTGGGATGATGGAATCCCTACTCTTTGCTGTCAAATCTGCTTCATTGTGTTCACCTTCTGTCTCTCTCCAATTATTTTTTGCTTGTTTTCCNAATACTCCCCCTCAAGCTGGAATATCAAAGATGCACAGTTTGGAACAAAGATTATTAAAGACAGATTGAGCCAATGGTTTGGTAAGGCTGTTACTCAACTGATCACTAGATCTGATACCTATATCATGAAGTAGTGAATGAACTCACATCTCACATGTAGTATGAGCCATGGTCCGACGCTCAGCCTTTGCACTCGAACATTTAACTACATTATGTTTCTTATTGCACCAAGTCATGAGATTACTATCAATAAATGTAACAAAATTTTCATGAACCATGGAGTATACTCAAGGGCTTTGTCAGACTGAATAATTTTGGTACGTATATCAAACTGAACTAGAATTTTGTTATAAAAGGTAATAAAGACATTGGGCAATTCAGATCGGTCTTTCATAACAAATAACCAAGTCACATAAGAGAAATCATCCACAAATATTACAAAATATTGGAAACCAGAAATATTTTTGACTCATGCAGAACCCCAAATGTTTGTATAAACAACATGAAAATGACTAAATTAACGACTTGAAGAGCTAGGAGAAAAAAAACTATGGTAATTGACAAGCGTCACATTCTAACACGCAAGAGGAACTCAAACTAGGGATGACTTGATACAATTTCTCCAAAAAAGGATGACCTAGTAAAAAATGTCAGTGGAGAGGAGAGATAGTTACACCTGAGGTAGGAAAGAAACTTTTGCGATCCAAGTAATAAAGGCCATTGCACTCATGCTCCACACCAATCTCCTCTTTCGTATTGAGATCTTGAAATACACAAGAAGATGGAAAGAAGGTTATTGAACATTGTAAGGACTTGGTTAACTGAGTAGGACTAAAATCAGTAGTCCCATGTAATGGTTGAAAGGAACCATCAGCTAACACAATACGTGAGTTGGATGAACGAAAGTTAGAGAATATAGATAACATACCAGATATATGAGTACTAGTTCTTGAATCAATGATCTAAGCACAAGAGGAAGGCTGAGGAACCATATAGCCTGAGGTGCCTTCATTAGCAAAATTGGTAGTAGGAGCAGACAAACTTGAAGCATGTGAAGACCATTTATTTATTTATTTTGGGAGGGGGTGAGGGATAGGGGAGGGGAACTTGAACCCTTGTGAAGACCATTTATGAATGAGTTGTTTAAGTTGAGAAGAAAGATCATCATGAGAGCCACTTGCTAAGTGTTACTTCAAATTTGCATAACCACTTGCTAAGTGTTACTTCAAATATAACATACCGTTTCCCTTCATTATTTTATTGTAAAGATTGCACATTGCATGTCGAATATTCCCTAACATGCTCCCTTTACTTCCATCCGATATCATGTTCGTTTTGTTTAGTTGATTCAATGGCCACATTTTCCCCCTTTGACGTCTTATTTACAATCCACACTTTTCATTGAATACAAATTCATCATATCATTATTTCAAATTAAATTAATACTGGTATAAAAGTTTTTTTTATTAATAATGTAAATGTACAATTTATAAGAAGAATTTATTATGTGTATGGTATTTATTGTTTGTTAGGAAATTTAATGCAAATGGATGGTGGGCTAATATTGTTTCCACATATTGTTAATTGAGAATTTTTAATATTATGTGTGGTGGGCGAATGTGATAGTTTGACAAACAATAAAAAGTAGATTAGTGCACTAATATGATGTTTTTTGGTAATCTGATAAATAATAGACGAATGCTAATAGATTCTATTAAAAAAGAAGAAAAAGGGAAACAGAGAGAGAGAGAGAGAGAGAGAGAGAGAGAGGATAAAAGCAGATGGCTATATCTCTGATCAGAGAAAAAAAAAGAGTAAAGGCTGAAGACACACAGATCTACAGAGAGGGGGTACTGGGTCAGTTATCTGGTGGATATTGGAGCTTGCAGGAGGGCTTGGGAAGGAGAGATGAAGGAGGAAAGGGGAAAAGCAGGAGTTTGAAAGAAAAAGCTGAGCTGAAATCTGGATGGGTTTGTTTCTGTATGTGGATGGTTTCCTCTGCTTGCAGTACTCTTGCATCGTATCCCTTCTCCCCCAACTCTTTCTTCACTCTGCTTTTTCTTCTCTCTATCTCTCTCCCTGTCCCTCAATTTCTTCAATTAATTTTGCTTGTTTTCCTTGCTGAAGATGGGACTTGGGAGTGGGATGACGGAATCCCTACTCTTTGCTGTCAAATCTGCTTCATTGTGTTCACCTTCTGTCTCTCTCCCTCTCTCTCTCTCCCATTATTTTTTACTTGTTTTCCTTGGCGGAAGATGGAAGTGAGCTCAACGAATCTCCCCTTTTCATAGACGAATATGCTTACTATGTAATCAATTGTGTTTGAACTGGCAACGTTTCACTGGAAACAGAATGAAACAATGTCGTTTCGACCAAAACAGAAGAATTCTCTTTTTGACCTCCCTGTTTTGTGTCGGTTTTTCACGAAATCAGAAATGTTTGGTGCGTTTCGACTACTTCGACATGCCTTCTGGATCCTTNCTCGAACATTTAACTACATTATGTTTCTTATTGCACCAAGTCATGAGATTACTATCAATAAATGTAACAAAATTTTCATGAACCATGGAGTATACTCAAGGGCTTTGTCAGACTGAATAATTTTGGTACGTATATCAAACTGAACTAGAATTTTGTTATAAAAGGTAATAAAGACATTGGGCAATTCAGATCGGTCTTTCATAACAAATAACCAAGTCACATAAGAGAAATCATCCACAAATATTACAAAATATTGGAAACCAGAAATATTTTTGACTCATGCAGAACCCCAAATGTTTGTATAAACAACATGAAAATGACTAAATTAACGACTTGAAGAGCTAGGAGAAAAAAAACTATGGTAATTGACAAGCGTCACATTCTAACACGCAAGAGGAACTCAAACTAGGGATGACTTGATACAATTTCTCCAAAAAAGGATGACCTAGTAAAAAATGTCAGTGGAGAGGAGAGATAGTTACACCTGAGGTAGGAAAGAAACTTTTGCGATCCAAGTAATAAAGGCCATTGCACTCATGCTCCACACCAATCTCCTCTTTCGTATTGAGATCTTGAAATACACAAGAAGATGGAAAGAAGGTTATTGAACATTGTAAGGACTTGGTTAACTGAGTAGGACTAAAATCAGTAGTCCCATGTAATGGTTGAAAGGAACCATCAGCTAACACAATACGTGAGTTGGATGAACGAAAGTTAGAGAATATAGATAACATACCAGATATATGAGTACTAGTTCTTGAATCAATGATCTAAGCACAAGAGGAAGGCTGAGGAACCATATAGCCTGAGGTGCCTTCATTAGCAAAATTGGTAGTAGGAGCAGACAAACTTGAAGCATGTGAAGACCATTTATTTATTTATTTTGGGAGGGGGTGAGGGATAGGGGAGGGGAACTTGAACCCTTGTGAAGACCATTTATGAATGAGTTGTTTAAGTTGAGAAGAAAGATCATCATGAGAGCCACTTGCTAAGTGTTACTTCAAATTTGCATAACCACTTGCTAAGTGTTACTTCAAATATAACATACCGTTTCCCTTCATTATTTTATTGTAAAGATTGCACATTGCATGTCGAATATTCCCTAACATGCTCCCTTTACTTCCATCCGATATCATGTTCGTTTTGTTTAGTTGATTCAATGGCCACATTTTCCCCCTTTGACGTCTTATTTACAATCCACACTTTTCATTGAATACAAATTCATCATATCATTATTTCAAATTAAATTAATACTGGTATAAAAGTTTTTTTTATTAATAATGTAAATGTACAATTTATAAGAAGAATTTATTATGTGTATGGTATTTATTGTTTGTTAGGAAATTTAATGCAAATGGATGGTGGGCTAATATTGTTTCCACATATTGTTAATTGAGAATTTTTAATATTATGTGTGGTGGGCGAATGTGATAGTTTGACAAACAATAAAAAGTAGATTAGTGCACTAATATGATGTTTTTTGGTAATCTGATAAATAATAGACGAATGCTAATAGATTCTATTAAAAAAGAAGAAAAAGGGAAACAGAGAGAGAGAGAGAGAGAGAGAGAGAGAGAGGATAAAAGCAGATGGCTATATCTCTGATCAGAGAAAAAAAAAGAGTAAAGGCTGAAGACACACAGATCTACAGAGAGGGGGTACTGGGTCAGTTATCTGGTGGATATTGGAGCTTGCAGGAGGGCTTGGGAAGGAGAGATGAAGGAGGAAAGGGGAAAAGCAGGAGTTTGAAAGAAAAAGCTGAGCTGAAATCTGGATGGGTTTGTTTCTGTATGTGGATGGTTTCCTCTGCTTGCAGTACTCTTGCATCGTATCCCTTCTCCCCCAACTCTTTCTTCACTCTGCTTTTTCTTCTCTCTATCTCTCTCCCTGTCCCTCAATTTCTTCAATTAATTTTGCTTGTTTTCCTTGCTGAAGATGGGACTTGGGAGTGGGATGATGGAATCCCTACTCTTTGCTGTCAAATCTGCTTCATTGTGTTCACCTTCTGTCTCTCTCCAATTATTTTTTGCTTGTTTTCCTGGCGGAAGATGGAAGTGAGCTCAACGAATCTCCCCTTTTCATAGACGAATATGCTTACTATGTAATCAATTGTGTTTGAACTGGCAACGTTTCAATGGAAACAGAATGAAACAATGTCGTTTCGACCAAAACAGAAGAATTCTCTTTTTGACCTCCCTATTTTGTGTCGGTTTTTCACGAAATCAGAAATGTTTGGTGCGTTTCGACTACTTCGACATGCCTTCTGGATCCTTGTGCATTATCACCTATAATTGCACAATCTGTAAGTATACAGAGGTTCATACTTGTTACGTTTGGATTTCGAGTTTTAAATAAATTACAAGTCTAAGGTAATGGTTTAGTAGTTTTCAGGTGGATACAAACTTTAGATTTTGTACCCATATTCTAAGGCTGTATAGCCTATCCTCATTTGTGAATTATATTTTAGGTGGTGGATTATGAAAAGGAAGGGTCAGTTTTACGTATACGTGGGAAAAATATCCTGGAGAATGACCATGTAAAGGTATGTGTGATTTTGTATCAATCTTATTTTTATATTTATTCCTATCTAATGGTGCAATATATTAATCACTGTATCATTGCANTATATTTATTCCCATCTAATGGTGCAATATATTAATCACTGTATCATTGCAGATAGGGGCTTTCCATACTCTTGAAATTGAGCTACACCGACCATTTGTGTTGAGAAAGGTATGATTCCTTTGTTAATTCTTTTAGCTGTACTAGCTAACATCTTATCCTTTTTCCATCCACGTCATGCATGCAATATGATGGGGTACAAAATGTTTCAAATGGGATTTATATTTTGTTGATTTCTTTGTTTGAATGATGCCAGATTTGGATTTATTTTCTGCTATTTATCTATTATAAGCAACGCCTTGCAGCTAGAAAATTAGACCATGAAGTGTATCCATATTAGCTCTATGATAGCTTGCCCCTTTTCTAACTATGTTTTTTTTTTGCCTATCAACACTGACTGATGTAACAAATATTTTTTTTTTAATTTTTTTTTTTTTGGGGAGGGGAGGAGGAAGGGGGACTTGAACCCTTGACTTCAAGAAGGCAAAGTCTTTACAAGGCAAGGAGTACCATTGGACCAAAGGTCCATTGGTACTGATGTAACAGATATGCTTGCTCTTTTCTTCAGAAAAGGTCAGATACGTTGAGTTCAACTGAAATCTGGAGTCTGAGATATTAATTTGTTTCAAAAAATGATTTTTTGGGGAGTATAATTCCCCTTCATATATGTTCACTTTATCCTGAACATAGTAATTTGAACGTGAACAGCTTATATTTCCCTATCAAGTGAAGTCTCAGTTCCAGATTAATCTGGGTGAAAATAATTATGTGTGTGAGGCATTTCTAAGCTAGGTTCTTACTAGCTCCACATGTTTTCACCCATTCTCTCATATTTCTTTTTTTGGGTGGGGGGTGGGTTGTGTTGGGTGGGAAGGAGAGAAGGTTTGTGTATTTGCAGTTANTAAGCTAGGTTCTTCCTAGCTCCACATGTTTTCACCCATTCTCTCATATTTCTTTTTTTGGGTGGGGTGTGGGTTGTGTTGGGTGGGAAGGAGAGAAGAGGATACACAGAAGGTGTGCGTATTTGCAGTTTTTACGGATGACTGGGCTTATGTGTGCTTTAGTGGTTTGAATTAATCAGTTGCCTTCTAACATTATTTCAAGGACATGATTTGTTGGGCTTTCTAATGAGAAGTCGGATGGTTGCTGAAGGTTTTTTTCTGAGTCATACTATGACATTGGTTGGGTGAAATGACCTCCACTGTGGGAGGATGATATCACAGATACGTCAAGTGAGGAAGGTGATTTGATTTTTCATTCTCCCTTATTAACTATCCTGGAGTTTCTAGGGACTCTAGATTCTCTAGCTAAATGTGGCTGTGGATGGATCACTTCTTCAACTCTGTAGCCAGTTAGTTGAACCCAAAAGTCTAAAACATTTGTCTAAAAAGAATTGCAGGAAAGNGGTGATTTGATTTTTCATTCTCCCTTATTAACTATCCTGGAGTTTCTAGGGACTCTAGATTCTCTAGCTAAATGTGGCTGTGGATGGATTACTTCTTCAACTCTGTAGCCAGTTAGTTGAACCCAAAAGTCTAAAACATTTGTCTAAAAAGAATTGCAGGAAAATAAAATAATAAACGTTGATAACTTAAGGAAAATCAATGTTAGAGTGTTACTTTCCTGTTGCTCTAATTTNAAAATTAAGTGTTTGAAACTAATTTAAGTGACTTTCGCCTCAAGTCAAGCCTTTTTTTCCCTCAAATTTAAATTTATTCTTGTATAAATTGATGTTAACCTAATAAATATGTTGAATTAATAAATTATTTAGCATATCTTTATAAATTAATGGATTGCATTTGTGTTTCTATGCGTTTCCATATTTTTTTTGCGTTTCCATATTTTTTTTGCGTTTCCATTGCGTTTCCGAAATGTTTCCGAAATGTTTCTATTTTTGAGTTGACCGAAACGGTACTTAGAAACGAAATTTTGATCCTTGATTATGTGGTTTTCCTATTATGTTCTACTTTTCTAATATTGTAATTGTTTTCAATATCAATCTAACATAAATAGGTGATTGGGGTTGACAACACACACTCTACACATAATATTGTTTCATAATCTCTTTTTTCCTTCTTTTTTTTCTTCTTCTCTTTCTTCCTTTACTCNGCGTTTCCGAAATGTTTCCGAAATGTTTCTATTTTTGAGTTGACCGAAACGGTACTTAGAAACGAAATTTTGATCCTTGATTATGTGGTTTTCCTATTATGTTCTACTTTTCTAATATTGTAATTGTTTTCAATATCAATCTAACATAAATAGGTGATTGGGGTTGACAACACACTCTACACATAATATTGTTTCATAATCTCTTTTTTCCTTCTTTTTTTTCTTCTTCTCTTTCTTCCTTTACTCTAACATATGGTTATTCAAGCTGCAATATGGTATTAGAGCAAGACACTTGGTTGAGTGGGGCTTGGCCCTAGGCGATCGCCTCACTCACCTAGTGTTTGGTGTGACCCAGCACACATAAAGTTGTAATTGTCTACATTTGTTTATCGGGTGTTGTGATTATTATCGATCATTGTGGGGTGCTTGAATCTATATCCGTATCAGTATCCGTATCCATGTCTTTAGTATCTTATCATTGGTGCATATTTTACATTTTTCAGTTTGGTTTAGTGATTTTCGGCCTAATTTCGTGTTGGTTTAGTGGTTTTCAATCTGGATCAATTCCGGTTCAGTGTTTTCGGCTCGATTTAGGGTCGATTCAGTTATCTTTGGCTTGGTTTGGTGTTGGTTTAGTGAATTTCATCCCAGTTTAGTGTTGTCAATTTGTTTTAGTGCCAATTCAGTGGTTTTCAACACAGTTTGGTGCTTGTTTAGTGATTTTCATTCCGGTTCAATTCCGGTTTAGTGTTTTTAACTCGATTTAGTGTCAGTTAAGTGGTATTCAACCCAATTTGATGTTGTTAGTGGTTTTCACCCTGGTTCAATTCCAGTTAAAAATGTTTTTAATTTGGTTTAGTGTCGGTCCAATGGTTTTCAACACAATTTGGTGGTAATTTTGTGGTTTCATTCTGGTTTACTTCCAGCTCAATGTTTTCAACCTGGTTCAATGCTAATTTTGAATTCTTCATCTCGATTCAATATTGGTTTTGTGGTTTTCAGCATCAATTCAGCCCTTTTTTGTCTAATTCAACTCCGATTCCGCTTAGTTTATGCTTTTTTTTTTTTAATTTTTGCGGTTTAATTTGTTGTTGGGTTGTGTTTCGTTGTGGTGTTGTTGGTTGTGTTCATTTGTGTTGGTATTGTTGTTGGTGGTGTAAGTGTTGTAGCGTTTATCTTTTGCCATCACAAATGTTCTTTTCGTTGCCGTCACAAATGTTCTTTTCCTCTGTGTGATCATCATTGTCGTTTCCTGTTGCTTGTTTTGGTGTGTTTGTTAATTACGTCTCTAGAAATCCAAAGGGATGCCTTAGATTTCACATGGAGCAATCCCTTGGATTCGTTGTTCAGGGGGAGTATCATGATTGTGTGTGTTGATTAAAGAAGCCCCTGAATGATCCAATGTAGCCACTTAGAGCTTTGTTTTATTATCCTTATTGTTTGCGTGTAGATATTGCAGCCAACTCAGTGATTTTCTCACCAAAATATTGGTGCGCGGTCCACCTTTTGGAGTCTTTATTCCAAGCTTGACATTGTTTATCTGTATGCTATAGCTTGTGGGAGAGTGTTACTTCCTATTGTTCTACTTTCTTATGATTTTATTTTACTATTATGTCATTTACCTATTGTTTTACTTTCCTATTTTGTTTTCCTATTATATTCTACTTTCCTAATATTGTAATTCTCTTAAATATCAATCTAATATAAATAGGTGGTAGAATGTTGACGACACTCACCCTATACACGATATTGTTTTATACTATCTTTCTTCCTTTCTTTTGTTTCTTTTCTTTAATCCTACCTGTATTATGTCATATTTTTTTAATTAAGGGTATAATTGTAATTTGTAGCTTTTTATGAGATTAAGGTAAATTTCACCAATGATCCCTAAGGTTTGTCACTTGTTGAATTTTGGTCCTTAAAGTTTTAATTTTATTAATTGGATCCTCGGAGTTCACATATTGGACCAATGTAGTTCTTTACCCTAACTGCTGTCTAAATCAATAACGAAAAATCATCACGTGCATAATGACTGCAATTAAGAACAATTTTGTCATTGTATAATGTAATATACTTAATAGTATATCTATATAATAAAACAAGTAGGAGTTTGAAAATTTATTCCCTTCATATTTTTTCCCCAAAAACATAACATCACTCATTTTTATTACATGTTCAATAATTTAATATTTAATTAATTTATAATTTAGCATAATTTTTATTTCAGATATTATCCATACCTGACAGTATATACATGTTGAGAAAAATTTGTTGAA